GATCTCTCTCATCTACAAAAAAGGTGATAAAAGGGAGGTACGCAACTGGCAACCAATATCCCTTCTAAACGTGACTAATAAACTATTAGGGAAAATTCTTGCTATCAGACTTGCTGATCTTCTCCCCTCTTTAGTAGGGGTGGAGCAAGGAGCTTTTGTGAAGGGCAGATCCATCTTTGTACAGGCCCTTGAAATTATCAGTAAAGAGAGAAGAAACCTGGCCATTCTAATGCTCGACATGGAAAAAGCATATGATAAAGTTGGCTGGGCCTTCGTGAACACTACACTACTAAGGCTGGGCTTTGGCCCTAATTTTTGCACTTGGATTAAAGCCTTATATGCGGATGCAACAGCCTCAGTTTTAGTGAATGGAAAGCTATTGCAAGAATTTTCCTTGACAAGGTCTCTGAGACAGGGCTGTCCCGTAGCCCCCTTGATCTTTGTTCTTCAACTGGAAGTGCTTCTCGATAACATGAGAACAAATCCTATAATTGAAGGCTTGAGGACCCCCCTTATGTTACAATAGAAGGTGGGGGCGATTGCCGACGATCTCACAGTCGCCTGTGTCAACTCTCCGGCTTGTTTGTTAGAACTACGTAGAATTATAGATACTTATTGTGATTTGTCGGAAGCCTCAATAAATTGGGACAAATCAATTTTTTTCCTCCCCCCCGATTTTGAGTTGAGTGTGGAGTGGGGACTTCGTCATGTTCCAATTAATGCATCTGACAGGTTTTTGGGAGTGCAGGTTTCACTCTCAGACTGTTCTACAGCACAGGATAACATTCTGGTGGGAAAAGCTACTGCGAGGATAGCAAGTTGGGAAAGAAGGCATACACTATCCCTCTTTGGGAGAGCACTCGTCCTATCCACGGCGGCCTTTTCGACACTATGGTTTCCCATGACGGTCTGCTTACTTGGAGCTCATGCCTATAAGAAGATTAAAAGGGCGGCAGCACGGTATTTGTGGAAGCCTACTGCCACAGAGGAACAGGGTATGTATCCAAAGTGGCATGGGAGGCTATAGCCAGGCCACATAATGAAGGAGGTCTGGGGATCCTAGACCCCCTCAAGCAAAACCTGGCACTGCTCTCCAAGTGGCCAGTCCAAGCTGTGTTGGATGAAGAATGTGAAACATGGATGACTTTGGCTGAACACATTCTGGGAACTGAATGGGGGCTTGAAGACCCAACCAAAGTACGGTTGTGCCTTCTAATGCCTTCATTCTGCAACCGCCGTCCACAGTCAAGAATTTGGCGAAACATTGTCTCTGCATGGAATAAGCTAAAACCTACGGAGTGGAGACAGCCACAGACTAAACAGGAATGTCTGAATCAATTATTATTTGAAATCCACACATCTGCCAGTCGAATGGAATACCCTTTGCTGTCAAGGATGGAGATTTCAACTTTGGTAACTCGTGGATTAAGAAAGGCATTATGCAGATAAAAGACCTGTGGGACCCAGTAGCCTCAGAATGGATAACAGAAGATACTCTGAGAGGAAAGCTTCCAAGGATACGCAGCTTGTCTAATAATTACCAGGCATTATTGAAGGCCATGCCTCAAGGGTGGACTTATTTGCTCCAAGCGGATACTGAGAATGCGCTGAATGGGTCAGATCTCCAGATCACACAGGAGAGGTGTGGAGAGTGCTGGGCCCGGCCCCGGACCAGGGTATCAGAGTTCAGAAGTGGTCGCTCCCTTCCTGCTTGCAGACTACAGGACAGCTGCAGGAGACCGGAGAACAAATAGTGCTACAGACATCGGATCTCGTTGAAGTTCGGGTCTTCCTTCAAGAAGAGGGGAAGGGTAAAACCTCAGCCACTCTAGGGAGAGATGCAACCTCCTATTGAGTGGAACCCCTCTTGTTTGGATGGAAGGACCTTAAAACCAACATCTCCTTCACTCCCTTGCTCCATTATAACTCTAAAATGGGAGTAAAAGTTCAGTGAGGTCGAAGATCAAACCGGCGTCTCTGTCACTCAAGAGAGCAGAGAATCAGCAGTTGGAGGGGGTGTCAAAATATAATCTGAGAATCCTATGGACGACGCCGAAGAAACTGCCATCGCAGAAGCAAGCAGCCATCATATGGCTCCAATCCTTACTGGTCACGGCGACTGTATCCTTTTTGGTAACAAGGGGAATGGACATCTCCTCCATCTGTCAACGCTGCAATTGGGGATGGGAAGACCATGCTCACCTCTGGCTGTTCTGCCCTCTTTTAGACGACCTACTGGAATGGTAGACAAGACGGTGGCATTTCCTGTACGAGCAAGAAATGCAGTGGACAGAGTCCTGGTGGCTTACAGGCCTCCCCCCAGAGGGACTGAGTTTGTGTTCAGGCATACATTATGTAGCTCTGTGCTGTCGAGGAGCTCTACTAGAAGTCATCTGGACAGCCCGGAACGCAAAGGTTTTCAAGGGGGAAACTTTGTCCCTTCATCAACAGAAAGCCTTGATGAAGTCCAAATTAAGGCTTGTTATTATAGCTGACTGGGCTCAGCAACGAACATCTGGGGCTAGGAATTACCACTGGCTTCGAGGCACATGGGGCCTTGCCAATAAATGGGCGACTATTAGCCCAGAGGGCTCCTTCTCTCCATCTCCCTGGCTCTTGAGTCAGGAAGACTGAGAAGGAACATCGATGGAACTTGTAGAATTGATAGTGGGGTCGGGTTAGACCTGTTCACCTTGTAGAATTGAAATGGATTTTGAGCGTACTAATGGATGTATCAGACTTGTGGTATTCCAGCCGATAAGGGTTTTCATATGAGCAATTAGAGCTAGTTGTTTTGTAATTTTTTGAGCTTTAAGTTGTATTTGAGCATGTACCAAATTTTAATTGAGATCTTTTTTTGGAAAGTACAGTGGCCCAGTTGTGGGGGCCCTAGACCAGGGTTTCAGGCTTTGCAGGATATATCATTAGTAGCCAGAGTTGGATGAGTTGGATAAGCTAAACTGGCTGAGGCTGCCAGGATAACTCCGGGTTGAATTGTGAGGTCCCCAGCCTCGATCTATTCTGNGCCATCATTTCTGTCGTTTCTGCATTTGCTGCGTAGGTGCGGCAAGGCACTATCACGCATGCAATACAAGCTATGAAACAAATGCAAATCTACCTTGTTCACCCAAATACGACGTGCGCTCATTATTGTGTATGTAGACTGAAAGATACCCTAAGTACAGCTATAACGACCGCACGTTGTATTTGGGTGAAGAAGGTAGCACGATCACGGAAGGAAAATCAAACAGTACATATAAAGAAGGCGCAAAATCAGGAAAAAAAAATAAAAAAAATGAGGCGCAAAATCCCCGCCAACGACTTCAGATACCTAGAACGCCCAAGGAGGTGAAAGAAAACGATACAACCGGATGAACACCAATATTCAGCGACGGAGATACAGACGGACAGGCAGACACCAAAATAACGAAGAGAGAGAGACAAAGACAGCTGAATGAGACACAGAGAGAGAGAGAGAGAGAGAGAGAGAGAGAGAGAGAGAGAGAGAGAGAGAGAACGCAGATTACAATACCACAGATTACATTATTATAAATTTATAATATCTCTGTTTTTTTAATTTAATCTTGCCTAGAGATGGAGATCAACAAGAGACAGAGACGCGAAAAAAGGTGGAACCAAACAAAGAAGAATCAGGAGAAGAACGACGAATCAAGGCAGTCACCAAAACTTCCACTATATAAAATTAAATTAAATTAAAAAACAAACAAAAAAAAAAAACTTCCAAACAAAGAGGAACACGGATGCTTCCATCAGGACGAGAGCGATGGTGAGAGACTCAGTGAGATTTTACTAACCGGCTGCTCCGGTGACAAGGACTTTTACGGGCTCAGCCATGGCGCCGACTACCGCGAGCGATGGAACAAGCTTTTTCCCAAGCGAATGAACGGAATAGAGTAGTCTATAGTCTATACTCTATAGTAGAGTAGTGTGAGTATGCTCAATTACAAATAGTAAAAGGAAGCAAGAAGTCAAAAATAAAAAAAGCAAAAATACACCAAACCCTTCCCCCCCCGGAAGTCTGGATGCATCTGACCGCAATTGCGTCTACAGCTCACTGAGCAGTGAGCGCAGACAAAAAGTCCTAGTGCGAGTACGCTCCGCTACAAATAAGACAAGCAAGCAACAAGTAAAAAAAGAGCAAAAAGACACCAAGCCCTTTCCCCAAGCTTGCAGCTTATGATCGGGTTTACCGTTTACGCACGGCGGTCATTACAGCTGTATCGGTGCAAATTTTCAGTCCAGATACAGCGATAAATGACCGGGCGCTCTATTCGCGCGCGGCACAAACACGCTAGAAGCATGCCTAGCGCTTCCGCACCCAATGCCACCCACCTGAGTCCTGACACTTTCCCAGCGCCAGCCGCCCATACTACAACAGTTACAAGATCTCAGAAAAGACAAAGGAAAGGAATCTGAAGCTTTCTTTAACAAAACAACAATTTTTCAACGAATACAAAAACAAATTTCAACTAAGTTGCTAGCAAGCCGAAGCTGTGTAATGGCCCCAGACTCCCAGTACTCTCCACTGGTGAATTTTGAGATTCCCGACATCATTTCATCTCATGCAAGGAAGAACGAAGGCAGGCAAGGAGAAGAAGAGTCAGATCTCTCAAATGACATGCAAAAAAAATGACATGCAAAAAAAAATGACATGCAAAAAAAAAAAGAAGTGCAAAAAGAAACCTAAGTTAAAGAGGGACAAAAAAAACAAAAAAAAAAACGAAGTTGCGACAAGTGAGAACGAAGAAGGGTATAGGGAAGAAGAATCACTGACATATCTTTCATACGAAAAATAAAAAACAGTTCAAAACGAAAACTAAGTCGAAACAAAAACTAAGTTTCCACAAGAGAGAAACGAAGAAATTCCCCCCCCCCCCCCCCCCCAACAACCCAAATAAAGAAAAAACAAAAAAAAAAAGAAGAGAAGTAGAAGACGAGTCAGATCTTGTGAGGGTCGTGGAGTCAGGTAGCTGATGTAAACAGTCCTTATTTTTTTACTCTTTTACATAAACATCGCGCAATCGAACGTCAGAAGCCTCAACTACCAATGTCGCTCTACAGACACAAATGTTACAGTTATTCTCTCTCTCTCTCTCCCTCTCTCTCTCTCTCTCTCCGCTTCTCATTCTGGAAGCCTCTCCCGCCTGTTCAACAAATCTCTCGCGCTGCCCACTTCCCAAAATTGTGTATTCTCACAATAAATATTCTACGAGTTCATTATATATTTTTTATTTTCCCCTCACTCCTTGATGATGGAATCTGCAAGCGCCTTCTCCTCAACAAGTTCGGCCGCAGTGGCATCCATCTTCGCTCTCGAAAAGTCGTCGATAGGAAGCCCTGCAATCAATGTCACAGTACCATGCCAAGGGAGAACAAAGGCCCAGAATATCAGAAACAAAAAGAAAAAAAAAGAGGGAAAAAAGAATAAAAAGAAGTTTTTCAATCCGCACATTTATATTCACAGGAGGACAATCTTGCCTACTACCGTCTTCATCCGAATATCACTGTATCTAGACTGGAAGTTGCACCAAATGCAGCTACAATGGCCTGCCGCTCTATTCGGGTCAAGACGGTAGGCGGTGTACCAGTACGGATCCACTGACACTTAAAAGACATAGCCACAGCAGTGTAAACAACATCCCATTATTCCCATATGAAATGAAATTGTAAAAAAATATTAAAAAAAAGGCCATCACATGCTGTAAACGGAGATCTACGATCAGATCTAGTAGGCTTCTCTGATGACATCATTATAACGGAGTTCTTCTTTTAGCTTGCACTAATTCCACGTCTGTTTTAATCCGCGAACACTTGTATATTTAATTATATAAATCGTTATATAGCTCACTATCATATATAGCTCACTATTATATAACGGAGATCTACTATAGATCTTTACAGAGCTCATTGTCACATAGCTCGTTCCAAAACTCGTTATATTGCTCGTCGTATAGCACGTTACGACGCTCATTATTACAAAGCTCATTACATAACTCTTCCTTTAGGTCGTAATATACCTCATTCTATAGCTCGTTATATTGCTCATTATATACATAATAACAACGGATTACTGCTGCTTTTTAATTCCAACTACAAAGTCATTATACAGCTCATTGTATAGCTTGTCACATAGCTCGTTATGTTCCTCGTTATATACATAGCTCATTACGTACATACAGGTCATTATATAGCTCATTGTATAGCTTGTCATATAGCTCGTTATATGGCTCGTTATGTTGCTCATTATATACATAGCTCGTTACGTTCCTCATTATACATCTGTAGTTCACTATACAGCTCGTTACATAGCTCACTATATAGCTCGTTATATAGGTTATTTAACGTCATTATGCATCACTATATAACTCGTTATATAGCTCGTTACTTTGCTGATTGTGCAGAATGGCAGGCATCCTAGCTTCGCTAAGCACATTAGGGATCGGGCGCTGAAACTAGTTGCCATGCAGTCAAGGTGCGTGAACATCGTATATAACCCTTACGTTTACGTCACCAAGTGGTCAACATGGACCCCTATTTTCAGCCCATAATTTCAGCCCATGCAGTCATGCAGCCGAAAAGGGTAATTAGTAATTACTAATTGGGGATAAAATTTTCAGGGCTTCTTTTCTGTCCTGTTTTAGTTTTGGTCATTTCTATTGTCCCTGAGGGGAACCCGAATTTCAAGTCAACTTAAGACATTATAATTATGGACTTTACACAACATTCTACATGTAACTCGATTTCACATGCGTCCCGATTCATTCAAAATGCTGCACTCGTACGAATGCACCTGGTCCAAAAAGCGTCCAAGCGAGGTCCAATGGCAGTCATAAATAAAGGAGACCGCATACCTTGCACAATTTCCCACTCTCCATTCTTCGTAGTCACAGGGAAGGAATAAATAAGCCCGGCCGGGACACCGTACGACCCATCCGAAAACACTCCCATCGACACCCACGTTCCCTGCCAGATCAGAAGAGTATCGTCAGTACGAGTCTCAGATTGTTCATTTTCTTCAATTAACGTTTATATTTACAGAGCCAAAGAAAAAAAGAGAAAACCAACGCTGCGCTAACACATCATATAGCAATCTGCCTCGCAACCTACCTCACCTCCTTTCAGTTTCTTTTGTTTTGTTTTTTCTCCTTTCCTCTCCTTCTACCTCCTCGCTTTCTTTTTCTTTTGGTCTCTTTTTGTTTACCAGCCGTAAATCGAAAACAGAGTGCCCTCAACGATTCGTCCTCTGATTCAACACGCTCTCGATCCCTCACCTCTGGTGTGAAAAAAAACCAAAAAAAAAAAAGAAAAAAAAAATGGAAAAAAAGAAGGGACTCACCTCCGCAGTTCCTTTAATCCAGTTCGAGACGTGATCACAAACAGCGCTAGCAGCAGACAGAGCGCTGGAGAACTTCCTCATCTTAATGATTGCAGCACCACGCTGCTGAACGACCTTGATGAACTCATCGTTCAGCCTGTGCAAACAATACATAGACGAAACGACGAAACGAAACGTAAGTTGGAAATTACCGCCCTCAGTAAGTAGTTGCAGCAGATTCAGTCAGACACAAACACACGCCGAAAGAAGATAAACAAATCCCTGCACGTCCCAGTGCACAAGCCAAAACAATTCATCGCCCCCCTCTACCCCCAGGGCCCACGCCTCGCCAAAAACGAAAAGAAAAAGGGCCACTTACTATTAACTGGCGGCAGACTGTCTGCAAATAAATTTTCCAATACAGTGCAAATGAGCTTGAATACAATTGAAGGGCAGACCCAGTTTGATAGCGTGCACTCACACCCACATCCACACAGACAACACACACACACACACACACACACACACACACACACACACACACACACACGCACACAACGCACACACAACACACACACACACACACACACACACACGCACACACGCATACACAAAACACACACACACACACACACACGCACACACGCATACACAGACTCGGACAAACAAGGAGACGTACCACTCATCGTCGGCAACAGCTTCTCTGATGCTCTTCTCCACACCCTCGGCGGTCTTGACAACGCCATGGTTCACATCCGGATACTGGGTCGAGGAATGGTTTCCCCAAATGGCCACGTTCTTAACATTAATCACGGGCACACCAACACGCTGAGCGATCTGTGCCAATGCCCTGTTATGGTCCAGCCTCGTCAGGCAAGTGATATTCTTGTTAGGTATTCCCGGTGCGTACTCCTTCAGCACGAGAGCATTCGTGTTTGCAGGGTTAGCAATCACCACCACCTGCACAATTTCCCACAATCACACCTTTTTAAGTTAAAAAATTGGCCCAATCGACAACTTCCAAAGCTTCTCTCTCTCTCTCTCTCTCTCTCTCTCTCTCTCTGTGTATGCAAATTGATGATTGCCTTGAAAATGAGACAGATTTCATTAGTTCCGCCTTTACTTGCGCATGACAAGCTGCAGAACCTATAACAGGTATGATAGTTCACCAGCTCGCACATCCGCTCAGCCGAATAAGCCACACCTTAACGTCAGGAACGTCAGGAGCGTGAGCGCCAAGGTACCTGAATAGGCAAGCAGGGACGAATCTATCCTAATAATTCCCTCCGACCGACTTTCCCTGGATTCTGCCGACTTCTCGTCCTCCTCGGCGAACGGCCCACCAACTCGTCCACTCAGACCACGGATTTTTTACTGCCCAAACTCGAAGAGGGGGGGGGGGGGGGGGGGGGGGGGGGGGGGGGAGTTTATCAGCGAATGTACGGTCACAAAATCCACCCCGCCCAGTTGGTACACCCATCAACTGTTGAAATGCAGACCGGAACTCTAGTCCAGATACCACCAGACAAGCAGAATAAATTCACTCTGAATTACCTGGGGGCGGTCAGTTCAACGATGATACTCAGTAATATCTCAAAGGCGTTGCCGGAAACTCTTTTTTTTTTAAAGCAAGCCGGAAACTCTTTTTTTTTTTTTTTAAGCAAGCCGGAAACTCTAGAGTCCTCACCTTTACGTCCTTGTCAGCATACTTCTCCAGAGCCGCAGCCTGCTCCTTGTAGATGGACACGTTCTTTCCCATAACTTCCTTTCGCTCCATGCCCGCCTTTCTCGGGAACCCGCCAACCATGCAAGCCACCTTCACGCCGGTCGCAGCTTCGACCACATCGGATGTTGCGACAATCCCTAGATAACGGGAAAACAAATTAAATTGATATAAGTTCCATGCATATACATTTAATTTGTACAGTTCCCGTTCAAGTACCAAATAAAAAAAAAGGAGAATTTATAAAAAACAACATAATACGGAGTACATAACAGACAACAAAGCCTAGAAGCGAGAGACAAAACCTGCCGTCAATACATACTGCGCAAGTCGGCGTAGAATAGTTTCAGTTCCTAATTTGTTATTTTGCAGAAATTGTTCCACCAAAGAAACTAGTAATAACAATAAATTAATAATAATAATAATAATAATAATAATAATAATAATAATAATAAAAAATGTATTTTAATAAAATGAAATAACCTACAACATGATTAAAAAAAAAAGGACAAATAAAATGAAATAAAATACAACATGATTAAAAAAAAAGTACTTTAACAAAATGAAATAAAATAAAACATGGTAATAAAAATAATGATCATCGTTCGCCGGATCTTGCTGAAAGTGTGGGTTAGTAAGGCGATGAACGACAAGAACTCCCGCGCTTAGTGGTTTTTTTTGGGCAATCCTGCTCTTCATTCCGAAAAACCATATTGACAAAATTCGCAAAAGAACAAAAGAAGAACAAATAGGAAAAGAAAAATCAACTAACCAATGGAAGCCTAGTGGACGGCTGGAACCTACACAGATGTATACCGATGACCATGGTGCATGCCTCTGGATATGGTGGGAAATGCACCAAAGCGAAGTTCAACCCCTAACACGAAACTCCAACGAACATGGCAATCCCTCAATCAACATGAAAAGATCACAGAACCTCGACAAACATAAAAGGATCGCAGAAGTTTCCTCCGCTACTATGGCAAATATGGCAAATTTAAAGTAACCGGAAACCCAACAGGGTATCATCGCGACCTCAAAATCACGACTTTTTTAAGGGATGTCTAAATAAGACCGACACTAGACTAAAAAAAGAAAAAGAAAAAAAAAGACCGACATTAACTGGCCTTCGTCAGTTGGTACGCCCCTCAACTGTTGTAATAAAGACCCCAAGTACAAACTCCAATGGAAGCGGATGAGCGAAATACGACAATTCTGAAGTACCTAGTGCCGGTCAGTTCAACCATGCTATCTCACGGCCGTCGCCCGGTATGAGAAAAAAGAGAGCAAGTCCTTCGGAACATCCGTTAAAATTGGAACGATGCACAGAAAATTAGCATGGCCCTTGCGCAAGGATGACACGCATAAATCGAAAAATGGTCCAAAATTTTGGAAGCGCAGGAAAAAAAAAAAAAAAAAAAAAAAAAAAAACTCATCAGGTCACAGTGTTGCCGATTCGCATATTCGATTCTTGGGATTAAATCGTGGACATAGGACTCAATTCTTTACCTACGTAACAACTGATCAGGTCACCGTGTTGCGGATTCGCAGTGAGGTCGTTACAGTTGCTTGGTGGCCGCGTAGACGGTCTGTGAGGTCGAGTGCTGAGTGTGAGATTGGGACCGGGACACCGGGCCGCGGAGAAATCCGTGCTTTTCTTTTTTTTTCTTTTTTCTTTTTTTCGTGCTGGCATGGGGGTTAAATGCAGTTCTTGGGGTTGAACTTCCACCCCAGTCAGCTTAGCCGCCTGGCTGAGCATCCAACTCGTATTTGGGTGGTCGCTTCCTCCGTTCTCTTGGGATCGTCTCGTGCAGACACCCTAGCGGCCAGTTGATCTAAAGTAACCCACAGCACACACTTTAAGCAGGAGGACACCAAGTTACTCACCTCCTACCGTCTTCTTCTGAATAGAACGCAGGGTTTTTATCGCTGTACCTATACCCAAAGTTTGCCCGAAATACGTAACTCCCCGGTACCAGGCGGAGAGGGAGAACCGAGGACAACAAATGCGGGTTGTGACAGACTGTTTCGTCGGAGTTTATATACGAAAGACAGCTGAGCCCATTAGGGTGCGTCCGTACAGACCACCAAGTGCACCTCACGGCGAGTTGACTTGAGGCAACGAACCTGTACCGTTGACTTGAGGCAATGAACCTGTACCGTTTTCCGCTCTATAGGAGCGAGTCATTAGGGTGAGTCCGTACAGACCACCAAGTGCACCTCACGGCGAGTTGACTTGAGGCAATGAACCTGTACCGTTGACTTGAGGCAATGAACCTGTACCGTTGACTTGAGGCAATGAACCTGTACCGTTTTCCGCTCTAGAGGAGTGAGTCACCTCTACCTTAATGAACTCGACCACTTTATAGAAACAACTATCCGTGAATATAACAAGGCTCGAAGAGCAGACGCTTCGCGTCTGAATCCCACGCATTGGAACCGAAGGATGCAACTTGCGCCAATATCGTCCGCTGAATATCACCCCTGAGCTCTTTAAAATTTTGTTCCTGTTGTAGCCGCCTTTTTCTTTTTATAATTACAGTAAAGCTTAGCATGTTCCTCCAAATAACGCAAAACCACGGGGGTTCCAACCCCCGCTGAGCTCCACATGGATATAACCCTGAGGACCAGAAAATTACCAGAAATAGCAAGAACACGAGACAAAGGAAAAACGAAATAAGGTCCGAGAGATCTCACCGCGAAGCAGAGGGTAGGCAGCATCCAAAAGCTCCATCTCCACTCCCTTGAGCGAATCCATGCAGGGGGGAATATCCAACATGTGGAGAATGACAGGCTGGTCCGGGCCCAACAAATGGCCTCTTGCAATGAGCGGAACCAGAGCATATCCGATTTGACCTGCGTCAAGAAAAAGAAAAAAAAAAACAGAAAAGAACAGGAAATTCAATAAATCAAATGATAAAACAGGCATACACTTGCCAAAATCGATCAATTTAAAGACCACATAGAGATCATCAAACCAAAAATTGAAGATCGGAGGGACTACCTAGGGATTTTCTTCTCCAAAAAAAAAAAAAAGATCACTTCCTTCCTCGATTAGCATAACATCACAAGCTGACTGGCACGAAAAGCACCACAGAGAGTGGGCCAAAAAACATACACACACTTAAATCGGGCTATTTAAAAAATAAAAAAAAACGAATGTGCAAAAAGGAGGAAGCATCTTCCACCACAAACTGGACAGATACACCGCTCATAGCTTTTGTCGCTGTCTATTTAAAAAAAAAAATAAACGAATGTGCAAAAAGGAGGAAGCATCTTCCACCACAAACTGGACCGATACACCGCTCATAGCTTTTGTCGCTGTCGTATTTAACGAGCAGCGGTCCTGTTTTACTTTTTACTTTTATTTCCATAAGGGAAGGTCCAAATAACCACACAAACACTTCAAAGCTGAATGAGTGCTCAGCTAAGCAAAGACATAGCCCACAAATTTCGGTCAAAAACTCGACAAATACCGAAGCAAACGAATTAAAATCCTCCGCAAAAACAAAACAAAAACAAAAATCATAGAACATTAAAAAAAAACACGACAGACAAATACCGTCCAGGGCAAAAAAAAAAGTGTTGACGATGACCATATCCGACACATAGGGCCTCGCTCCACTTCTGAATCACAATAACTGCATCTGGACCCCCCCGTCGTCTCGATACATTTAGAATGTCGGATCATTTAAACTGCATTTGTTCCGCGCACAGTCCAGATACACGTACTAGAACGTTGAGTAGTGGAGCGATGCCCATAAATACCGAAAATTGCGTGAGGGTGCGCACGCACTCGAACACAGTACAACACCGACTGCATTTCTCACAGTATCGATCAAAAAGAGGCGTCCCCAAAAAATTGCGTGAGCAGAACAAGGACACGCGAGATCTACCAAAAAATGCGCCGATTTAGAATAGCCGCGTATAAAGGCATGGCTTTAACAAAGAAAAGAGCGAGAGCATCCACCATCCCTTCCCCCAGAAAAAGAAAAAAAAAAAGAGTGGAAGTGGAAGAAAACCGCGGGGCGTTGATCTCCAACGAATGAGAGACAAACAGACCATGTTTGTTGATGTCCAACGAATGAGAGACAAACAGACCATGTTTTAACAATATCGATCGTCAAGAGCAGTATCGATCCGGGAAACAAACTGACAAAAAAAAGAAAGGCGCCGCACCACTCTCCAAATTTGAAAAAAGAGAATGTATGTTCTGCAAAAATATGGACATATACACCGCCATCATTCGTGTCTTCTCTGCATTTGCTGCGTAAGTGCGACAAGGCACTATCACGCATGCAATACAAGCTATGAAACAAATGCAAATCTACCTCTCCAAATTTGAAAAATGAGAATGAATCTTCTAGGAAAATATGGACATATACACCGCCATCATTTCTGTCGTTTCTGCATTTGCTGCGTAGGTGCGGCAAGGCACTATCACGCATGCAATACAAGCTATGAAACAAATGCAAATCTACCTTGTTCACCCAAATACGACGTGCGCTCATTATTGTGTATGTAGACTGAAAGATACCCTAAGTACAGCTATAACGACCGCACGTTGTATTTGGGTGAAGAAGGTAGCACGATCACGGAAGGAAAATCAAACAGTACATATAAAGAAGGCGCAAAATCAGGAAAAAAAAATAAAAAAAATGAGGCGCAAAATCCCCGCCAACGACTTCAGATACCTAGAACGCCCAAGGAGGTGAAAGAAAACGATACAACCGGATGAACACCAATATTCAGCGACGGAGATACAGACGGACAGGCAGACACCAAAATAACGAAGAGAGAGAGACAAAGACAGCTGAATGAGACACAGAGAGAGAGAGAGAGAGAGAGAGAGAGAGAGAGAGAGAGAGAGAGAGAGAGAACGCAGATTACAATACCACAGATTACATTATTATAAATTTATAATATCTCTGTTTTTTTAATTTAATCTTGCCTAGAGATGGAGATCAACAAGAGACAGAGACGCGAAAAAAGGTGGAACCAAACAAAGAAGAATCAGGAGAAGAACGACGAATCAAGGCAGTCACCAAAACTTCCACTATATAAAATTAAATTAAATTAAAAAACAAACAAAAAAAAAAAACTTCCAAACAAAGAGGAACACGGATGCTTCCATCAGGACGAGAGCGATGGTGAGAGACTCAGTGAGATTTTACTAACCGGCTGCTCCGGTGACAAGGACTTTTACGGGCTCAGCCATGGCGCCGACTACCGCGAGCGATGGAACAAGCTTTTTCCCAAGCGAATGAACGGAATAGAGTAGTCTATAGTCTATACTCTATAGTATAGAGAGTATAGACTACTCTTAGCTCTGTAGCTGCGCCTCGAAAACCTAGATTTGTTCGTTCGTTCATTCGTGCCAACACGACTGCACTCTGCTGACGTTCCCCAGAGGTCGCAAGGCTCTCTTATTATAGACACACGACACGGGTTCACACAACTTGAACCCCAGGAGCTGTCAAAAAAAAAAAAAAAAAAAAAAAAAAACAGGAGCTGCCAGCTCGGTGTTTTCCCGGTTCCCCCCTCGGCAGCGGAGAAGGGGAGGGGTGCACTCTCCTTGGCCCCGCGCCTTCCTGACAGCAGGGCGCGGTCACAGTGCCGCCGGCGCGGCGGCACATGAAGACAGCGCCCTAGTGATTCTTGCGGTCGCGTATCGCTCGCAGTGGTGACTTGACAATTCTTTTTGGGTTTTGTTTTTTTCGAGTGTGGTGACTTGACAATTCTTGCCAGTAGCAAGGCTGACAAGAACGTGAGGAAGTCGTTTCCCGCCGTAGATTTTTCTGTGTTTTTTTCCGTAATATTACATTATTATATTATATATTAAATTGAAAAAACAAAACGAATGCAAAAAGAACTCGATAGGAAGACGTGTTGGCGCCCCGCCGTTGCCCTCCACTGCAAAATCCTGGGAACCAGAAAAACAAAAAGAAAAAAAAGAAAAAAAGAAAAAAAGAAAAAAACACACTCAAGGATGACACACAAAAAATGAAAAAAGGTGGTTCCTTTTCTGTCTCCTGGGGTGAGGTCCCACTAGCAAAGAGGATTGGACTGAACGCCCGAATCTGGCCGCGTTTCTGGACAAGTGCAGAAAATCGAGATTGAACTCCTTTTCTGCATCTCTGCGTAAAACACGCCCAGATTCAGGATCTTAATCCAATCCCGGTTGCTCATGGAATCTGTGGTGGTGAGTCCACTGGGGCCCGCCCCCGCCGTAAGCACAAGAGAACTGCGGTGAGCGTGGCACAGGTAACACCATCATGACATGGACGTCGTTGAGGCGGTCCCGCTCACACTGCATGAAATGAAAAGAAATTGTTTCCATGCAGTGCGAAATGTTAGCTAGGGCAGGCTGACACCAGAACTCCACGAGACGTATCTGATCGAAACAACGACTAAATTCAGTCAGTAAAATTCAATGTGGGTATGCCACCCCGCCAACGAGGAATAGCTGGTGCGTTTTCGCGCGGATCGGCCCGAAACCGCGCGGCGTAGCATGTTCTCTCGGTAACACGGTTCTGGCTGCTACGGGGCTCCCCGTATGCCTACAATTTATTTATTTTTTGGGAAGTATGCCTAGTAGTAGTGGTAGGTAGGTAGTGTGAGGTGAAATTGAGAGAAGAATATAGCTTTGAAAATAAAATAAAATAAATTCCGAAACTTGCGAGATTCGGACGAAGCGCTCAAGCTGCCAGCGGGGACAAAAGGAAAGTAACAGAATAGGACGTTTCCGAATGAATATGACCATAAATGGGGCCAATCACATCCAGGAAAATCCCACTGTCAGAGCAGCCGCCATGGCCCGGCCACGTACACGGCATGACGATGGAATTACGGAAGGTCTGTTTTTTTTTGTTTTTGTTTTTTAAAGTGTCATCCTTGCGCAGGGGCCATGCTAATCTTCTCTGTATCGTTCCAATTTTAACGGATGTCCCGAAGGACACGGAAGGTCTGTCGCTTTCTCTTTTTCTATCATCGTCGGTCTGACGGGCGCCAGGTAACTCCGTACTAGGGCCTCGCTCCATAATTCTCGACATGCACAAAAGACAAAAAGCATGGTGGTGTATCTTTCCATGTTCTAGCGGAAGATTCACTCTCGTTTTGCACATGTCGAGCGTAGTGGAGCGAGGTCCTTACGCTTCATTCCGCTGGTTCCCTCCCGATTCGAGCTCTGGTCTACATTTTAACAGTTCATGAGTGCACCGACTGAGCTGGGCTCGCTGGGGATCTGTCATCTTCAACTACAGCCCACATGTGGCCTGGCTCAACTACATTTTCTTTTGTTTTTTTAACTACACTATATTATTCTTGCCCAAGGGCCGATCCAGATAAAATAGAAAAAGCACAGACCACAGACTATGCCAGATTGCTCAGAAGAGAGTCATAGAGTTGGGCCGCAGGCCCACACACCACGGGAAAATCCTGGGTGGGCGGGGCCGCTTCGCCAAAACAGGCCACGTGAACGACCTGTCCTCCGAGTGTCTGGCTGACTGGCTTGATGTGACGTGCAGGTTTGCGTACGCTATGGGCGCGGCAGGGGGCGGAAGAAATCCGGAGAGTGCACAGCGCGAGTTGAGTCAGCCTGCCGCGACCGGTCCTTCTCCAGTTACATATACTCTTGTGGCACCTGGAAGCAGTGGAGGTCGGGCCGCCGAGGGACTGCTTCCTGCCAGGTGAGTCTCGATGGACCCTCCGATAGAACCTTAGATCCTGATGCTTGAGATGCTTCCGCCGTAGATGCTGATAACTGGAAATGTGGATGGAACAGAAAACAGTCCAACCGTAGATGTAGAGAATCAATTGAAAAGGGGGGTCCCAGATAAGCCGAGGAATACAGCAAATGTCGACGGGTTGTTGGGATCGTATTACCTTGGAGATGAGGCCTAGGACCGAAGAAGTTGAGGCCAACCATATGACCCGCTGCTGGTGAGTTGCTGCCCAGGGCCGATCCAGATAAAATAGAAAAAGCACAGACCACAAATGATGCCAGATTGCTCAGAAGAGAGTCATAGAGTTGGGCCGCAGGCCTACACACCTCCTAGACCATCCCAAATCCCTCCATCATCCCAAAAGTGACTTGTCATCTTGCAAGGAGTGGTGGAACGAGCGGACAAGTGATGGAAGCTGGCGTCAGAAGCGAGTGACTCCGGAGATAGCAGGAAGTTACCAGGCTGGGTTGGAGTGGAGCAGCCGACTGATTGAAGAGTTTGGTCTTGGGAAGCGATGGCGGAATGGAATGCGGAAGCTTCTTCTTGGGTTGAATGAGTGGCTTGAGAGGAACGATGTTGGAAGGAGTTGTATGACATGCAAAGATTTGAATGTGCTATCCTTTCTTAGTAGTCAGTGGTTGGTTGAGATAGAAAGTAGATGCCGTACGACAGACAACGCGGGAGAGTCAATGGTTTCGCCATCGACGGTAGATGCTGTTATCAATTGCTTGAGCGGAAGTTTTCGACCTTTTTAGGTCGAGAAGAAGAAGACAATCCATGCTAAAGTACCCGTGTGAAGGTTTTCAAGAAGTCGTACAGAGAATATGCCTTGAGTCGAGGTGTGACTGAGGAATCTGCATGACCTTTAGAGTGGAAGAAACTAATTATGGTGGTAAGGTATATTCGAAATAAAATGAAGACTCTAAAAAAGATGCGAGAAGCAGAGGCTTATTGAGATGCTGCGATGTTCTTGTATTTGTGGGAAAGTTGGCAGCGATGCGGCGAAGGATTGCGGTTGCAATATAGGGAGATAGATATAGTGAATCAGAAAGTTCGACCGGGATACACGAAAACAAATAGACATGGAGGGCGATTTCTAATTCGTTTGAGGGAACCTAGTGCCGAAGAGGAAATGTTCTTAGGAATTCTTCCAGAATTGATTTTGGCGTACGAAAACGTGGGTGTAGATGTGCGGAGGGGGTACTTATTTAGGAGCGGGAGAGGCAGTAATGCGCTTGGAGGGGGAACTTTCAATAAGCGGACAGAGAAGTGGTTTGGTGAAGCAGGAGTGTATGAAGGTGAGAGTGGACATAGTTTCCGAATTGGAGGTTTACGGGCGGGAATAGAGGAAGGTTGGAGTTTAGGAGAGATGATGAGGCAGGGTACGTGAAATAATGTGAGGACGTTCATGCGTTATGGTTATGGAATGCGGCGTGGGTGAAAGCGTGGGGTGGAGGAAAATGTTGATGATGGTGGTGAAGCGACAACCGAGGTGATTGGAGCAATTGCTGATATGGAGGTGCTACGAGGTGAAGAGGATGGCGGAGAGTCCTAAGGTAGCGGGATTGGTGCATGAGTGGTGAACTCTGGGGCTGGGGATGCATGAGTATTCTGATTTTGGAATGATAAATTTATGAGAAATGTTAAGTGAAAGGATGCGGGGTAGCCAGTTTGCTTTATTTGATGTTGGAAAAATGAGTAAGTAAGAGCTCGGGGAAAGGATTGCGCGAGATAAGGCGTGGTGAAGTAGAGAAGTGGGCGGGAAAAACCATCTATATGGTTGGGACGGTAACATGTTTCAATCGAGAGAAAGTGCATCAACAGCAAAAGACTTTGTGGTCCAAGATCTGAAGATGAAGATTGAAGAAGTATGGTGATAATCTGAAGCGAAGAGGTCTATGGTTGGGGCGCCTAAGGTTGAAAAAATATCATGCCTAATGTGATTGGTGATGCCCCAGTCAGTGTTATCCTCTGTTTTGGACAAATGATCTGCGGCAGTATTGAGAGATCTCGGAATCCAGATAGTTGCAAGGAGTGTGTCATGGCGGAGGAGGATTGAAGCGATGCGGCGAAGTCAAGAATTAAAGACAGGGTCGTTCGAGCGGAGGTTGTTAAGGAGGGCGACAACGTATTGACTATCTGATAGAAGTCTGATGGAAGTTGAGTGAAGCAGATGAGGGTGGTTGGATTTGAGAAAAATGAAGGTTTCATGCATAGCGTAAAATTCTCTCTGGGTTGAGGAAGTTTGAACGAGTTCAAGAGGTAAGCATTGGTTTAGTGCAAGTGGCGAAGAAAGGAGTGGGGAAATGACAGCTCCGATTTGAGATGCGGAATCATTTGTGAAGATTGTGCAAGTTGATTGTAGAATGGTCCAAAGACGACCCGGGAGATGAGGAAGGTGGTGAAACCACCAACATAGATCCGAGATGAGGTCATTCAAGATTTGAGCTGGTGAAACCCAGTTGGAGGGTGAAATAGAATCATAGAGGGAAGAAATAAAGAGAGGGGCTGAAAGAAAAACTCTTGTAAGTGAGATTAATTTTCCTGCGAGTTTTGCTAATGTCCTGCTTGAGGGGGATGATTGCGTGGTTGA